AAAATAACTGATTTACCTTATAAATTTGAAAATGTTACCACTGGTCTCTCCATTTCTGTATGTCTTGTCCCTCTGACTGTGGAAGGTAAAGTGGTGTCACTTTAGTTGTAATGGTTGTAGTAACCAACCTTACTTACCATGTGTTAGGGACTATGCAAAGAACGGGGGTGTCCTTATCATTAGTCGTCATGGCAGCATCATGTAGCAGACATTATTATAATCCTCATTTTATAGGAAAAGTTGTAGAGGCTCAGGGAACTTTAAAAAATTGCCCAGTTCAGACAGCTATTAACTGGTAGAATAAATTTTAAAGCAAGTATGCTTGACTTACAGGGCTGCTCTCATCCAGTACACAATGCATTTCTCTGCCTTTAGCCACTGTTAGAGACACCCCTGGAAGTTCATTTCCCCTCAGGTGACTCCTGCAATTATTCTGGGAATCTCTAAGATGTGTCCCATGAGCACTCCCATTAATAAAACTCTAAAGTTAACTCGGGAAATCTTCCATTTCCCCACTCTTACTCAATCTTCTCTTGGTGATAGCTACACCGTTCCTGAGGTCTACACTGTCCTCAAAATCTTCTGAATAGCCCTCTCCACTGCTTTTCCTTCTGGAGTCGGACCCAGGAACTTCACAGGGGCTGTCTCCCAGTGCTTCCAAAGGTACTGGGCTGTCTACCCTGCCTGATAGGGCTGCTCTTCCCACCTGGGGTAGTTGGGGTTCTGGGCTCCATCACCATTTATGGGCAAAGGGAATAGGCCCTGTCAAGGTAGGAGTGGGTGTCCTGGAGCAACAAGAGTCCCTCGAGTGCCAAGGTCTCCCAGTCCCTTCCTTTGCACCTCTATGCCTCCCAGCAAATATTTCAACAACACCTCATGTGCTCTTTTCTACTCAGAATGCCCTTCCTCCCTCCAATTTTCCTTTACCTGGCAAGATCTTCGTTGTAGAAGAACCAACTTAGGAGCCACCATGTCTCAGAACCCCTCCTTGACTGTTTGCCACAACTGATAGGTTGCCCTCTTCTGTGCTTCCATAATGCCCTTTACTTTTTTCCAATGCTGCCCTGATATGTTGTATTATGAATATTGCATATATATCTGTTTATCTCACTAGACAATTGAGTGCATTATGCAATTGATGATAGGGATTATTATTCATCTTTGTGCCCCAGCACAGTGCTTGGCATTTAGTACCGGGTCAATAAATGTTAAATAATAAATAGCTCCTATGAGTCTAGCTAGAATAACTGGGTGGATGGATGACTCAGTAAATCTTCCTTATTACATTTCCCCTGACATTTCTCCAGTTCATGTCTTTATCATCTCTTACCTGGACTCCTAAAACAGCTTCTCAAATCTTTTTTATTTTGGTAAAATATATATAATATTAAGTTTACCACTTCAATCATTTTTAAGTATATAAACCCTTCAACTCTTAACCTGTGTCCCTGACTTCACCTAAGTCCCTACAGAATATAAAGTTAATACCTTAAAAATGTCCTATAAAACCCATGTTTGCAACTCCTTTGACCTAGACAAGTCTGTTATAGTAGGCTTTCAGTAGGTCTATGCAGGATTACCATGAATATTTTGTGGAGATGTCCAGTCACTACATCAAGGCCAGTTTGTCCCCAACAACCATGACATCTCTCAACAAATTGACTTCTCATCCTGACTTCTTCAGTTTTCTCTTTTCCTAGGTGAGAAACCTAAAAGTCATCTTTGCCTCTCCCATCCCATTATCTTATATCTTGACTTCTATCAAGCTGTGTTTCTTTTTCCCTTTGAAATATCTCATAGTTTACCTTTAATCTCTGTCACTCCCTAGCTCTGTGACCTTGGGTAAGTTACCCAATCTCTCTATATTTCAGCTCCCTTATGTGTGAAATGGGATAAAAATATGTGTTTTATATATATCATTTTTAATCCCCTAGGCTGTGGTTCTTGTGAGAATAAGTTAATATATTTGAAACACTTAAAACAGTGCCTGGCACTTCCAGTTATGGAATGAAAAAATCATGGGGATAAAAGGTACAGCATAGGGAATACAGTCAATGGTACTGTAATAGTGGTGTATGGTGACAGACGGTAGCTACACTTGTGGTGAGCATAGCATAATGTATAAACTTGTGGAATCACTATGTTGTACACTTTAAGCTAAGGTAACATTGTGTGTCAACTATACTTCAATTTAAAAAAAAAACAAAAAAACTGAAAATAAAACAAAACAAAACAAAACAAACCCCCAAAATCATGGCCTGGCATATAGGGTTAAATAAATGTTAGATATAATTGTTACCATTACTATTTCCAATATCATTACATCACTATAGAATTATTATGATACTCTCTCCTAGGTGGTTTCCTTACCCATATTCTAGCCTTCTTGAATAAACCTTCCCAATCATCCTTGTAAAACCACTTGAATCATATTTTTATGCTGAAAAGCATATAAGGCCTTCACACTACTTATTTAATCCAGCCTAAATTTTTTGCCTCATTTTTTCCTACAACATGGCCTTGCATTACTTACCATTCATCATTCATTCATTCATTCATTCAAGCCTGCATGCAACAAACATGTGCCAGCCACTGTGCTAAGCATTAGGGATAGGATGATGGATAAGGATAAGACATAGTTTCTCCCTGAAGGAAATCACAGTCCTGCACTAGTTAACTATATTTCATCTCCAGTGGAGGCACATAGACCCCTCCATTGGAGGTTACCATAGAACACATAGCCCAACCTGAATTGAGTCTCAAGACGAAAAAGGAATTATCAAAACAAAGATAAGAGGTAGAGGGGGTGGCGGATAGGGGTATTAGGGAGTGGCTCAGAGAAGGGCACACCAGGTAGAGGGAGCAGCTTTGGGTCCAAAGGCATTGGGTTATGTGGGAAAATATGGTGTGCTCAGGGAATAGCAAGCGTATGGACTGAATATTTGTGTCCCTTCCCTAATTCTTATATGGAAACCCTAACCTCCAATATGGTGGTATCTGGAGATAGGGCCTTTGGGAGGTAATTAGGAATAGATTAAGTCATAAGGGGTGGGGCCCAGATTCAATAGGATTACTGTCCTATAAGAAGAGACATCAGAAAGCTCACTCATCTCTTTCTTTCTCTCTATGTGTAAGTGCCAAGGAAAGGCATGTGAAGACATAGTGAGAAGGCCACCATATACAACCCTAGGAGAGCTCTCACCAGACACTGATCCTGCTAGCACCTTCATCTTGGATATCCAGTTCCTGGAACTGTAAGAAAAAAATTTCTGTTGTTTCAGCCACCCAGCTTATGTTATTTTGTTATGGCAACCTGACCCAACTAAGACAAGGAATTTAATAGCTGAGGAGGAGGATGGAAGGTGGGAAAAGGCAAGAGATAAGGCTGAAGAGTAAGAGACAACTATACTATAAAAGGTCTTGTATCCCATGGCTGAGCTTCTTCCTGGAGGTAGCAGGTGAGTCATTGAATGATTTTAAGCAGAGGAGTTAGTATCTGGTCAATTTGATATGGGAGGGTCATTCTGTGGAGGATGGATTCAAGGCAGGCAATAGTGGAGTCTGGGAGAGCCATTTGCTGACTGTAGCAGGAACAGGGGTGAGCCCTGACGATGTCCTGAGTTAAGGTGAATGTGGGTTGGGGATGCAGAGAAGTGGGTGGATTTGAAGTTTGGCCTGATGAGAGCTACAGCTCTGAGCACAATTCACAGGGATGTAGGAAGACTCTTGAAGACACCAGGAGCAGCAATCAGCCAGTCTCACTTTGGAGAAAGCCTCTTCTCTCTGATATGCTTGTCTCTATGGCCTTCACCTGTCAAAACCTCCTCAGCACTGAAGTGTCCCCACTTCTACAAAATGTCCCAAGACTGATATGAAGTCATTCCTCTCTGCATCCTGCTCTCTCCTAGTTCCATTGGCCAAACCCCATAATTTAGCTCTTAATTATATGTTATCTATATGCTTATCTGATAGATCCTGCTAGTTATAAGCTCCTTAAGGCCAGGAGCCATGTCTTAACTTTCTTGTAATTATCAAGGTCAACACATCGTTGCATGTACCAGGGCAGCTGTTCTCAACCCCTCTTTCTCCCTGTGAAATGTGATGTCTGCATATCCCTTGTGTAAAATCTGGGTGTCATTGTAACTCTACCCATTTCCATCTCACTCAAGAAAGCAAATCAGGATGATCCGCATACAAATATAGGGATGACTTTAAATGTGACCTAATCTATAAAGAAGAAAGGAAATTATCCACTATTTTCGGTAGGTCAGTAATGGTGCCTTTGATGGTAACAAGTTACTTCATAACTGTAGTGTGGTGATGCCCGTACTGGAAACTGCAAGGACTGTGTCTCACTCATCCTCACACGGCCAGTGCTAACCTCTCACACACCTGCTGCAGAGGTAAACGCTGTGGAACTGGAGGATAGGAGTCCAGTGAGAACGACTATGGTGGAAATGCTGATGTGGGAACAGGTGTTTCTGCTTCGTGGCATAAAAGCTCCTCTGGTGTATTCCAAGTTTCAGGACAAGAACATTTTCTGACTTTTTAACAACATTTCTAGAAAATGTGTAGTTTCTGGGAGTCTGATGGAGCTAATGGAATTTATTTCCTGTGAATTAATGTCAAATAGAAGAGAATTTTCCTCACTGTGAATAAGACAGTGGTGAGGACTGTAGAAAGGTTGTCATACGTCTATGAGGGCTAATAGTAGGTTTTCTCTTGTATTTCAGAGAGAAAGAAAAAGAAAAAAACAGTTTTTCTTGCGCCCCCTCTTCACCCCCCAAAAGAAGTCTGATATGGTGAGTGTGGGAAAAAGAACTGGAGGTCTTCTCTCATATTAGCAGCGTTTAGACTACAATGACAAAGTTCTACATAGTTAGTGTGTGTTTGGCAGGTTTATGGGAAGAAGTCGTCCTGGGTCATTGGGCCTGTCCTTTTACATGTGAGTGTAGCTTGTAACCCATCCATGACCTGGAGGTGAAGTAGGGAAGCAATCTGAAAGGATGACTAGGAAGGAAAATCCTGTAGAGCAAGTGCAGATAAACTGTTCCAGAAGTTCTGATAAGGAAATCTGTAAAACAAAAACAGTACAGGTTGATGGCTTCCTGGAACGCAGGTCACAGAGACCAAACCCTCACAAGCAATGTTACAAACATATCCAACTCCTGCTTGAATAGCTCTAAGGATGGGGAGCTCAGTTTCTGAGACATCAATAATGTGTAGTTACAATCCTGGAGCTTAACCACCCACAATTGTTTTTTGGGCTAAAATATCCTAGGAAAACCAAAGATATTTTAAGATGTTATAATTTTTTAAAAGATATTTATTTATCTAGAGGGCATGCACAAGTGGGGAAGGGCAGAGGGAGAGAAAGAGAATCTCAAGCAAACTCCCTGCTGAGCGCAGAGCCTGACGTGGGGTTTAATCCCATGACCATGAGATCATGACCTAAGCCAAAACCAAGAGTTGGACGCTCAACTGACTGAGTCACCCAGGCGCCTCTTAAGATGCTGTTATTTTAAGAATGAATTATATTTTAGTAATTATAATAGAAAGAATTGTAGGATACACTGAGAGTGGACAAGATTCTGAAGAAAGTTGGGAAGAGGATGGGGTCCGCTCAACAGTAATTAACAGGAGCTGAATGTAGGTGTGATGAAGGCTCTACAAATTACCTAGGTGTTTGTACTTTCAGTGCCCAGTCTGCTAAAACACAGCACTTTCACAACCTTTCTTTTATTTATTTCATTCACAGCAATCTCCAGAGCTATCGCTGTTATTTACGGCGATAAATTGAAGCCCAGAGGGTTAGGTGATTTTCCCAGAGTTGCTTGGGAGATGAGATTGAATTACAAAACAACTTTTCTGACTCCAGACATACAGGAGAGCAGGGGGTGGATCTCTGTATAGAATTTGATACATAGTAGGTGCTTAGTATATATTAGGCAAGCTATAATTAGGGGGTTCCATCTCTAGGCTGTCTCACTATACTGCATTGCTTCTTACTAGTTCTCTAGCTTGTGTTATTACTCAGGAGGATAGTGAGGCTTCCTCATGATCACTCCAAATCTCAAGGACTTGGAGATGGAAGAAATGATGGATTTTGTCAGCCATGTGGTGAGCCCTGAGTTGACATGACCAGGAGATGGTTTGTGATTGCGCCACAGCAGAACAAAAGAGTTGGAAATTTGCCAAACTCTAACTAAGGCAATCTAAACAATAATAAAGAGGACAGGCAGAAATATGAATTTACTTTAGCAAGGGGAAAGCTAGTCAAATTTATTACACTGGATTTGGAGAAAGACTGTATGAATTGGTCAGGTTGGAGGGGGATCTTAACCTGAGTGGATTGAACTATGTTTCATTATAATGGTTTCATTTATAATCCTATGTGTTATTTTAGGCATTTAAAATTACTATTCTGAGAAGGGATTCATGGGCTTTGTCAGACTGCCAAAGGAGTCGGTGGCCAACAAGGTTAATAATTCCAGACCTGTAACATTAAAAAGGGACACAGAAGGCCAGAACTAGGTGACGGTGCTCATCTAAACCCTGTTTAGAAGAAAAGGTGACCTGTCAGGCCAGTGAGAGGGACCATATGCCAGGCAGAAACCTGCCCATGCTAGAGATGGATGCCGCAAGATAACAGAGCCTGATGCCACAAAACATAAAAGTGGACACTTTACTCCTCTTCCTTTGATCTGTTCAAACTAAGAACCCCTTGGAATACGGCCTTTCACGTGCCCTCCCTCTTGGGAGACCTTACTCAAGCAGATGTGAATTGCCTGCCACCTGCTGGTGACATTGTTAATGTAAATTATTGAGCTGTCTTTCTACTCTAGCCGTTCATTGCTGGCAGTCTGCAAAACTGAATCCTAACCTTGCGCTGTTGGGGAATTCACTACTTGCTGCCATTTTGTGAGTGACTGGTCAACTACCCAGCCTTCCCCTGTGAAGTGAGAATTATTTCCATTGCAAACTACAGGGTTTTTCTACCCAGAAATTGGTGGATGTTATCTTTTGCTTGCTTTTCATAATGAGGTGTATGTTAACAATTATAATCAAAAGAGATTACTTTTTGTTAGTTCACTGATTTACAGGTGGGGAAATCACGCAACCATAAATCTAAGACAATGCTGTTCCAGGGGTGCATCTACCTAAAGGCCAGACCAGGCACCTTGACAACCTAGACCAAATAAGTGGTGACCAGCATCAGAGACTAAGAAGCCTGTAAGGTCCTATATGAGTATAAAGAGCACTAATGCATTTCAGGTGCTCAAGGTTGTATTGGTGCAAATATCATAGTGCTATGCTCAGCAGGAATTAAAATCTGTAAGCATTCCTGTTTCTTACAAGTTATTTGCAATGATTTTCCCAAATTGTGACCAATTTTGTCCTAACACAGTTTCTGACACATGGTCTGTATTCAGTTGGTTTGGCAGAGCCAAAATGGAATGCTGTTTTGGTGTTAGAGCTTAATTTTCTCCAACCCCTATATTCCTCTGTCATTATTCTATATGTGCAAAAAGAACATCCCTGATGGGGATGACCTTCCTTTGTATAAATGTGGTATCAACACAAAATCTGTGTTTTGTTTTGTTTTGTTTTGTTTTCAAGTTGCAAGGCACAGAGACATTCAGCACCTGCTCAGTGATCTCTCAGAGGCATCCTCAGTGATAGGAATTTTTGTAAGGATACATAGGGAAATGATACCTGCAATTTCACAGCCAGGTATCTAAGGAAGTGAAGGGTCACTCCTGGCTGTTGAGGCTGCTGCAGAAGCTGTACCAGCATCAGGATTCCATCCCTCCCTGCTCTCTATTTTAATTACACCACTATTCTGGACCCTCAGTTTCTATTGCTGTGCTTTATGCCAAGCTACAGCTTCTCTGTCACCTCCTACTGCCTTCTTCACTGTTCTCTTGCATTCATATCACAGTTTGTGTCTGCTCCAGGATGCTTCTGCTGCCTGGCTTCTGCTTCCATTGAGACTTCTAGAGAGAATATGTTATTGCCCTGCATTGACACTTTTTAGTGCAGAGTGCCTCTCAGGCTAAACTATATCAGAGGCTGCTGATCATAGATGTTGGCTCAGACCCCAGGCCCTGATCCCATCTGCTTGTGGCCAAGTTGATGGGTCACATATTATAACATATGAAACATGTGGGTGAGAAAGTACTGCTGGCTACTTGGAGGCTGGTGGGGGTCGGTGAGGAAGGCATTTATAATTCAGGGGCTGTTCATTACACTCCCCAAAGCATCAGTGTTGCCTCAGACCAAAGCTTGACCATATCTGATTCCATTCCAGAAGGTAATGTGCAGCTGAGTAGATGCACATTTAGGCGTTATTATTGAGACACTGTGTCCTTAATTATAGACTGCATGCTGATAATTTACCGCACCATATGTTCCAAAGCCAGAACTAAAGCTGTCGGTTTCCACTTTGATTCACATGTGGCTCACACTGAATGTTTCCCATAGGACCTGCTGCCCAGTGCGTAGGTGGTGATGGCTCCCTCCAAACCTTTGAATTGTATGAAAGGTTTCATTTGCTTCTGTAATTACCTATTTTGGGACTGACAGAGGAACTAAAAAGCTGGAAAATACTGTTCAGCTGTAAAGTCCATATGTGATGATTTGTTTGTTCCAGTAAAAGTGATAATAATGACAATAAAAATAATATTCCAGTCTTGACATTTCTCATTTAGAAAGTATGGAATCCTTTAGCAAAAGTGTTTCCTGTTCAAAGCTTTTATATCACCTTCCAGGAATATCTTTTTGGGGGTCAAGTCTACAGGAATTGTTTGCTGCCCTGAGAGATGAGCAGATTCCTTCCAGCTTTTGCATTCAAGGCTCACCTTTAGCCACACTCAGTACTGAATCTCCCCACATTGGACTATGTAAATGAGAAATAAGGTACATTCTCTTCCTCTATTAGGCGAAGTTAAAACTGTGGCTTAGCGCCTGAGCGAGGCTCTGTATTTCGTACAGGGTTGATGGCAGGATGGAACAGTCCATGCTTCAGGTTACTCTAATCTTTTCCAGTCTGTTTCAAACCAATCAGAGCTCCGAGAAACAGAAAGCTGCTAAGAGGCACCTTAGTTCCTGTGTTTGGCTGAAATTGAGGGTACACACAATTTTTCAAAAGCGATCTCCAAAAAAGATTATCTTTGTTCTGGATTGTGGCCAACTCTTACACCTCAGGGCAAGATATTACATACTGTGACTGTTGGGAGAAAGGGTAGAGTTGCTTACATTTTAGTTCTTGAAGTTTCCCAGCCTTACCAAAGTATATGCTATTGGCTGGTGTGATGATTATTCTTTGTCTCCTAAGGCCTTGGCCATGTCTGGTTCTAGGAAAGCCTCCCTCCTCTTGTCCTTCAGGCCTGTGGGTGGTAATAGGTTTCAGCTGCTGCTAGTCCTTGAGCATGCTTCAACACCTCCTGTTGGTTCCCTTAACCCAGTCTACACCGCTGCAAACAATTCCTCACCAAAAAGGCTTCCTCGAACATCCCAGCTGATGATGTTGTCTGTCCAATTCCAGGACCTTGATGGAAACATCTAGTATGCAAACATCTTCATAGTAATATCTTACTATGGGTTTCCAAGGTAGATAACTCCCATTTCCATTCTGGGGATTTATCAATATGGTAACATCGTATGCTTATCAGCTTAAAATAATTTCTTTAAATTTTTAATCATGTATTTATAAAAAACCACTATTTTATTTGCAGTTTTGATTCTGGCCCAAATGAAATGAATGCCTTATGGAAGATCATTGTAATTCAATCCCCAAAGGCTTGATCTCTTTTAGCAATATTTTTTCACTAAAAAACATTTCCTTAATACAAATTAATTGCCTATTTGATTTTTAGACATTGTGTACTTATTTTATGTTGCATAGAGCAATAGAAAAAGAAGATAAAAAATCCAAATTTTGCAAAAAATTGTAATAAAGGAAATACAGCAAAAGATGAGCCAATAATGTTGTAAAATTTCATGAACTAGTTATTTTACATTCAGAATTTC